TCGAATACCCGACTGAACAGCGATTCCTAGCGTTTGGAAATGCTAATACTTATTTTAGCCTCGGACTGAATTACCCCTTCTCCGTCTGTCAGTCTCTCCGTCCGTCTGCAAAAAACTTGACCCCGTGATTACACCAAAAGTTCTGAAAAAATGGATAGATGGCAGTAAGGAGATATATGCACGCCTTTGTGTTTTCTTACTATAACTCAGGTTGCTATGGTATCAAATAATCATAACAATATTTTGTGATAACTCAAATAGTACTTACAATTATGAAACTTGAAATATGGATAGATGGACAGAATATATATGCAGGTCATTTTAGCTGTCCTTCTCACACAGGGCAAGCGACCGCGTTTAGATTTTTGGTCCATGCTTTTACGCAGTAAAATCTCTCTTTTTTTGCTACAACCTCTTTTTTCTAAAGGTGTCTAATCTAATTTTTAAAATATATGTTCCTGATCATCAGACAAGATTCTCAACTCTAAACGCAATATTTTCAGAATTATTTTCTCTTTAAATTCTCCTTCAAAAATCGACTTCTTTATTTCTTAAGGACTCTTTTTGAAATTTCAATTATATGTTCCTTATCATCAACACATCATATATGACAGGATCCATTACTCTAGCATTGATTTTATCAGAACTATCCGCATTGAACTTAAAATTATTGGATTTTTTTTATTCTATATTTTTTTTTATTTCTTAGGGTATCTACTTCAAACTTCAAATACGAGTACATGTTCCTTATTTTCACTCAAAGCATGTGTGAGAAGATTCATAACTTTATCTCAACATTATCTTAACTCTCTCCAGAATTAGATCCCCCTTTGAACTTGGGTATTTTTAGAAATTTTCTTTTACTTTCATGTATTTCTTAAAGGATTTTCTTTAAAGTTCAAAATTCTTGACAAGGTGTATAAATCTATTAACAATATTTCCAGAATTACCCCCCCCCCCAAAAAAAAAAAAAACCTATAAATTTTCCTTATTCACTTTTAAAGTTCGTTATCTCTTCAGGGATTTTATTTCAACCATAACTTACATCATATGTGATTAGATTTATAGGTAAAGTGCCTGGGTTTTATGAATTATTTCTATTTTGAACTTATTTGAAAATTGTTGTATTTTTTGTTTGTTTGCTTTTTAGCTCACCTGAGCATATGCTCAGGGTGAGCTATTAGGATCACTATTCGTCCGTCGTCTGTCGTCCGTCGTCCGTCGTACGTCGTCCGTTGTCCGTTCACACTTTTCAAACGACATCTCCTCTGAAACCATAAGGCAGATCATAATGAAACTTCACAGGGATGTTCCTTGTGTGAAGCCTTAACAAAGTTGTTCAAAGAATTCCATTCCATGCAGAACTCTGGTTGCCATGGCAACCCCAAGAAAAAACTTTAAACATCTTCTTCTAGAAAGCCCAAAGAGCTAGAGCTTAGATATTTGGCATGAAACATCTTCTAGTGAGTGTCTACCAAGATTGTTCAAATAAAAGCCCTGGGGTCAAAATTGGCCCCGCCCCAGGGGGTCATTGATTTTCCCTATATGCATATAGTAAAAACTTTAAAAAAATCTTCTTTTAAAGAACCCAAAGAGCTAGACCTAAGATATTAAGCATGAAACATCTTCTAATGAGTGTCTACCAAGATTGTTCAAATAAAAGCCCTGGGGTCAAAACTGGCCCCGCCCCAGGGGGTCATTGGTTGTCCTTATATGCATATAGTAAAATCTTAAAAAAATCCTCTTCTAAAAAACCCAAAGAGCTAGAGCTAAGATATTTAGCATGAAACATCTTCTAATAAGTGTCTACCAAGATTGTTCAAATAAAAGCCCTGGGGTCAAAATTGGCCCAGCCCCAGGGGTCATTGATTTTCCCTATATGCATATAGTAAAAACTTAAAAAAATCTTCTTTTAAAGAACCCAAAGAGCTAGACCTAAGATATTAAGCATGAAATATCTTCTAATGAGTGTCTACCAAGATTATTCAAATAAAAGCCCTGGGGTCAAAATTGGCCCGCCCCAGGGGGTCATTGATTTTCCCTATATGCATATAGTAAAAACTTAAAAAAATCTTCTTCTAAAAACCCAAAGAGCTAGATCTTAGATATTTGGCATGAAACATGTTCTAATGGATGTCTACCAAGAGTGTTCAAATAAAAGCCCTGGGGTCAAAATTGGCAAAGCCCCAGGGGGTAATTGGTTTCCCTATATGCATATAGTAAAAACTTTAAAAAAATTCTTTTAAAGAACCCAAAGAGCTAGAGCTAAGATATTTAGCATGAAACATCTTCTAATAAGTGTCTACCAAGATTGTTCAAATAAAAGCCCTGGGGTCAAAATTGGCCCAGCCCCAGGGGTCATTGATTTTCCCTATATACATGTAGTAAAAACATGTTCTAATGGATGTTTACCAAGTTTGTTCAAATAAAATCCCTTGGGTCAAAATTGGCCCCGCCCTAGGGGGTCATTGATTTTCCCTATATTGCATATAGTAATTAAAAACTTAAAAATCTTCTTTTAAAGAACCCAACGAGCTAGAGCTAAGATATTTAGCATGAAACATCTTCTAATAAGTGTCTACCAAGATTGTTCAAATAAAAGCCCTGGGGTCAAAATTGGCCCAGCCCCAGGGGTCATTGATTTTCCCTATATGCATATAGTAAAAACTTAAAAAAATCTTCTTTTAAAGAACCCAAAGAGCTAGACCTAAGATATTAAGCATGAAATATCTTCTAATGAGTGTCTACCAAGATTATTCAAATAAAAGCCCTGGGGTCAAAATTGGCCCGCCCCAGGGGGTCATTGATTTTCCCTATATGCATATAGTAAAAAATTAAAAAAATCTTCTTCTAAAAAACCCAAAGAGCTAGATCTTAGATATTTGGCATGAAACATGTTCTAATGGATGTCTACCAAGAGTGTTCAAATAAAAGCCCTGGGGTCAAAATTGGCAAAGCCCCAGGGGGTAATTGATTTCCCTATATGCATATAGTAAAAACTTAAAAAAATTTCTCTTAAAGAACCCAAAGAGCTTAAGCTAAAATATTAAGCATGAAACATCTTCTAATCAGTGTCTACCAAGTTTGTTCAAATAAAAGCCCTGGGGTCAAAATTGGCCCCGCCCCAGTGGGTCATTGATTTTCCCTATATGCATATAGTAAAAACTTTAAAAAAATCTTCTTTTAAAGAACCCAAAGAGCTAGAGCTAAGATATTTAGCATGAAACATCTTCTAATAAGTGTCTACCAAGATTGTTCAAATAAAAGCCCTGGGGTCAAAATTGGCCCAGCCCCAGGGGTCATTGATTTTCCCTATATACATGTAGTAAAAACTTAAAAATCTTCTTTAAAAGAACACAAAGAGCTAGAGCTAAGATATTTAGCATGACACATGTTCTAATGGATGTTTACCAAGTTTGTTCAAATAAAAGCCCTTGGGTCAAAATTGGCCCCGCCCTAGGGGGTCATTGATTTTCCCTATATTGCATATAGTAATTAAAAACTTAAAAATCTTCTTTTAAAGAACCCAACGAGCTAGAGCTAAGATATTTAGCATGAAACATCTTCTAATCAGTGTCTACCAAGTTTGTTCAAATAAAAGCCCTTGGGTTAAAATTGACCCTGCCAGGGGGAGGGGGGGGGAAAGTCATTGTTTTTTATTATTTGTTAAAGTAAAAACTTAACATCATGAAACATCTTCTAATGGGTGTCTTCCAAGTTTGTTCAAATAAAAGCCCTTTGGTTTAAAGTGGCCCCGCCCTGGGGGCCTATGTACAGGTGAGCGACCCCAGGGCCATCATGGCCCTCTTGTTGTTGTTTTTTGCTGTTGGTGTTGTTTTATTATTGTGTGAGTGTTTTCTTTTTTCTTTTTTCTTTGCTATTTTAAAAGGTTTATATTTAAAAAATGTTATATTTTTTACTTTTCATCTTTCTTACTATGAATTGTTTCTACTTTAAACTTTAAGAAAATTGTCTTTTGTCATCAGATACATCATGTTTGACAAAGTTCATTACTCTAGTATCTTTATTTCAAGATTTCTCTCCTCTTCAGGTTAAGAAGTTGCTTCTTATGAGGTTAAAATATTTGTGCTCTTTTTGTCAATCTGTCTGTCTGCCTGTCCCTAAAGACTGTATCCTGGGATACAATTTAAAGTACTTTCCAAACAATTACCTGCGATAGAGCAAAGTTAAAACTTTAGTTGTATATATCCATCCTGAGAAAATTTGGTCTTTTGATTAATGATGTATAAACGTTTTTGTATTAGGCAAACAAAATTTACACATTACAATGATGCAGACAAACTAGGAACTCAAAAATTCATATCGTTCACAATTCAATGTCCATGGCCCTTAATGTTGCTGACATACTTCTTGTTTGGTTATAACCGGTAGGGGACCGTTATTTTGCTTATTGCTTGTTAAATTCAAAAATTGCATACAAATAGTACCTTTAAATTCTTTGTTTTAAAAATTTCCATTTTGCCTTAATTCGCAACTGGTTGCATTCTTTAAGTAGAATGATAAAAAAGTTGAGAAAAGGGTTTTACAACTTGCCATGCCTCTTTATACTACATGTAGTTAACAACACAAAGATTATGATATTGAAATGTATTCATACATTTCTCATTCTAAGTGGCGAAATAGTAAAAGAATTCTTTTCAATCACATTTTCTAAATTGATATTTTTACTGAATTATTTTCTTTAAAGACTAACGTTATGAAATATTTTCAAAGGCAAATCTATCAAATCTATTAAGATTACAATTATAGCTTTTGAAATATCGTGATTGTAGAGGATCATAAATGTAAAGAACATTTATTACGAATCTGTTCAGATTCCATGTATATTTCATCATATTCAATTCCTTTAAAAAGGCCTTTGTATGACCGTAAGGAGCCAAATGAACAAAGTTTATTGATTTTAAAAAGCTACTTATAGATGAATTGAATTAGTAATAAATAGTTTATTTTGAACAAATATTTTTTAATCATTTTATTAGATATACCGTGCATTCTGATTCTGACTAAGATTGATGAACGATGCAAAGAAGTACGTAAACACGTCGGGAATACATTTCTGAGCATTAAAATTCGCGATGCTGTTACTAAGGCGGCAGACATGTTTGGAATTCCGGAGGGAAACATTCATCCGATCAGAAATTGTGAGGTGGCTCCTAAGATTGATGACGCCGCAAGTAAGCTCATCTTAATGGCCTTCAAACAAATCATGTACTATTCTTCTGATAAAATAGAGGAACTGAAGAAAAAAGAACTGAAGAAAAAAGAGGAGAGTGGATGCATTTTATCTTGAACCTTTTTAGAAAGGCAAACATTTTACAAACTATTTCTATATATGACTGATAAAATTATCTTAACAGGAAATGGAGACAACTCTAAAATAAATCATCCGAACAGTAAAAGCGTTAAAAGGATTGAATATGTCAAAACTGTACATTCAGGACCTTTCTGAAGAATCTTCAGGTAACATTATCAACGGATAATAAACATACATTTTTAGCAAAATATTTCAGTGACAAATTCGTGACTTTTTAATGTTTTAAGTTTGATATAGTATTAACATCTACACATTGTTTTTTCAATGTTGCAGTTCCCTTTTCATGTTGTACGCATTGCTAAAGCTGTTGTTATTGCGTTTGAGAAACCATGACACTATTCTATGGGACAGACTGTTGTGTTGTTATTTGATTTTTATTATCAGCATATTCCTATTTTACTTTTATCATTAGAAGTAGAAGTTTTGATTGTTTGTTTCATTTTACGCCTTTTCCCAACAGTATTTCAGTCATATAGGCGGGTAGTTTCCTAACCATCGTTCCTGTACACCTGTTACACCAGTACTAGATTACCTTCCTCCGCGCTAAAGTACCAAAGCATCTCCCGGGGATCGAACCTACGCCAGAGAGGTAACTAGAAGTAGAAGTAATTGTAGAGATATTAAAAGATTGGAAATTTATTGATCATTCTTTTCCTTTTTATTATACTGATTTCCATTTTCATTTTTTCGAAGCAGAAATGAGTTTTGAGCGTTCTTTAGGAACTCTGTTTTTCTCTATTTTAAACATAGTGTGAATGTATTGAATTTTCGGAGGTATATTGTTTCAAATGGATGGAGATTTTGTGTAAGTATTATTGTCAGATTATCCCGCACATTTGGAAACAGGTCATTTGTAAATTTAAAACTATCGCTCTACGTGCCTTTTACAGCTTTCAGATTTTATTGGATATTTCTTGTTATTACTTAGCCAATTTAACAGTGATATTTCCATTTTCTTCTCTGGTTATTATCTAATGCTGAAGGTACGAAAAATGCTGAAAAAAGTATTTGATCGAAACTTGTTTACACACTCTTTCTCATTTGGAAAAACAAATCAAAAAGTTTAAACCTCACAAGGAATGTACTTTTACTAGTAACGTAACATAAAGCTTTAAATTTAGCATGCAAGAAAATGGTGTGAATGAATGGGGAAATTCAAAACATGTTTGCTGTGAAAACGTTTAATGGGGGTCTATTTATTTTTCAAAGAAATTATGAGAGAAAATGATGATACACATGTATATTTAAATATGAAACGAGGAAATATTGCATCAATGGTTTATCAACTAGAATTAATGATAGAAAGAAAGCAAAGAAACTTAACAGATTTAACTCGTCGGAAAACACCTCTCTCTAAAAGACAAGACGTAAAGTAAAAAGGAACGTATTGAACTCTAAGAGCAAAAGGGGGAAATATATAAGAAATAATCTAACATTAGGACTGTGAGAAACCACAAAGTATTTCTTAACAAAATATGTGATGTCTTGATTTCTATCCAACTATTTCTTTTTGATACATGACATATTTATGTCATCATCACTGACTGTATGATGCTTGCATTTGATTTGTAACCCTTTACAAATGGGAAACCTACTAGTCACAGGATCCTCAGCTATATCAAAATCTACCGCTGGGGATGTTTCTTATATGTGTGACAACCCAGTGACAATTTTTTTAAATGCCTTGTACCTAATGCACAAAATGTTGGGTATATGGGACGGAAACAATATTGACATTAACCAAACATTATACATGTTAACAAGAAACAAATGTCTGGCAGCATTGGTGGCAGGATTGCAATTTGTATGTTTGTAAAGGTTTAATATTTTATAGATAAAAATGTTATTTGTTTGTTGGTTAGTTTTTTCTTTGTACAATTTAGGTTACTGTATCAAAAATAAAACCTGAATACCCTGCTTATATTTGAAATTTTATATTATTTTGTCAATAACTATGTCCAAATGTCCAGGTTATAACGTATTTTCAATCTTTAACAATTAATAATGTCAATGGACAAAAAGAACTTCAAGCGTCCCATCTACGTTATTAAAGATTTACCTAAGGTCAATGTTGAAGCACGTAAAAATTGGATTTAGATTATTTTGAAGGGATAAAATAAAAAATTGTAAAATATTTACTATTTCGTTAAATTTATTGACCATGTCGCATAACATATTGACTCACCCTCGTATATATGTATAAGAAGCTCCAGGTTTGGTTTGTCCCTTATTTCGTTTAAATAAGATATCATTGTTTTTACCTACTTTGAACGGAAAATTCAGTTCGAGGAAGTGAAGAATTGAACATCGATAATTCGTAGGATATTTGACAACATGACTGAATGATATATACTTATTTTGCTTCTTTGGAAGCGACATCTTTTAAATGTCTATGTATTACATTCCTTAAAATAGTAATTGTTATCTTTCTCAACATGCATTATTTACTATGTCCTTGCAATAACGTAAAATAACCAAGGAATCAAAAGTGTAAATTATTCGATAGGTCGTCATCCGAAACACGATGCACACATAAAAGTTAAAACAGTGAGATTAATTGTACAAAGTTCTTAAGACGCGTATGGTGTGTGTAAATCATTAATTTATCTTTTTGGTATACATGGAAAAAAATTCCTTGTCATCAAAAATAAAAAAGGATTAAATACAAAAACACAATTATATTGCTCTTGTTAAAAGTAATGTTAAAATTAGACGCAGATCGTAGCTCAACATAAAAAAGGAAAGCAATTGGGCTTTTACGACAAGAACATGGTTCATTGTATGAACAGAATTATCAGATTGAAATTGAAATTCCTTTCTCAGTGATAAAACAGAGATTCATAATTAATATTTTTGTACAAATATTAACAATTCATATCGACTATAATTTGAATTCGAAGAATATTTGACATTATTTACAAATAACAGTTGTTATGTCAATATTTAGAACTTCACCACCTTATTTTTCTAGAATCTCATAGATAAAATGATACTCCACGAGAACAGATATTCTGCAAATCATGTTAAATGAAAACCGTCGAAAACGAATACCATTTTTGTAAGTACAATGTTTGTCAGTTTTAACACGATTTAAGAATTAATTTTAGATAATATTACTTTTGCTGTATCATTAAAATCGTAAATTTATTGTCGCCAAACTATAATTCTGGTCTATATAGTTTGGTAAAGTATATATTTTGCAATGAAAACTCGCGTCTCTTAATTTATTCACTATGTCTGAAACATGATTCGAACACGTTCCTATTTTCATTCATACTCGTAGCTAGAGCTTTGTTTCTATATTTGTATAAAAATTGTATTTTATTTAGGTTGTTTAATTGTGAGAATTGTTTATATTATTTGACCGACTGTCCTTGAGCTATATAACATTCGGATGACTGTCATTGAATATCTTTGTTTGTATTGGCTATTAACATATGCTGAATAGATGTTTGTATTTGTAAATAAGTAATTAAAAGATCCTGTATGTTTAGTTTGCATCTTAACTTTATTCCCATCTTCTGCAAGTTAAACTTTTTACACGGAATAAACAGTTTCAATAAACGCTAGTAAGCAACCTACATAAATTAAACTGTTTAAAGAACTTATTTTAGATTTTCTTGTTTGTGAAATATTGTATTTCCACTTTTTATATTATTTGATGAAATAAGTCATAAGTAGTTTTTAATAAGAATGGTTTTGAAATATGATTCAAATTTCCTCAAAGGCATATTAAGCCTCATAAACAGATATATCTTTCACTCTTTAGAAAAAAGAAAATTAGTTTAAACATATTTATTTCCCGAATATTTACAATATTTACATGATATACATAATACAATACAATCAGAATACAAATATATAATATATTCAAAGAAAAGGATGAGAACGAAAGACTAAGTCTTATAAAATTCTTCTCCTTTTAGTGTAACTTTATAATGAGTCGATTTTATAATATTTTGTACAATTATCAAAAAAGTGGAATGTAAATATTTGTGACGAAGTAAACGTTATATTTATAAGTAATCATCGGGAAAAGAATTAGAAATTATAATAACGAAAAAAGAAGAGAGGAAAACAAATAATACAATAGGAAGAAAAAGAAAGAAAGAGAAAAGAAAGATTGCTTCACTGTTTCACTTTAAGTTCAGAGAAATCGCTTTGATTCTGAGATAAAAGTATGAACATGTTTAAAGATATTGGCATTATCAGTATCTGAGATGTCCGGGTTGCCAAAAAGTAGGGTGTTGAGGATAATATCGAAATTATTTAGATTTCCCAATAATTTTTCTCTACATGTACGAAAGCGATTGCATTCAAAGAAGTAATGAAAGTTAGTTTCCATTTGACCACACTCACATAATGGCGATGGTGATATATTTTTAAGAAACAAATGATAATTTAGGGAGCTACATTTTGTGCGTAACCTGGTGTGAAGAATTTGAAGTTTTCTATTACCAAAATAAAAGTATTTTGGTGTAGCTTGCTTATCATAGATAATTTTTAAACATTGAAAGGGTTGGTAAATTCCTTGTGTTAAGGGGCAAGTTGTTCCATTCACGAATTGAAGATGGGAAAAAAGAATTAAAGTATAAAGATGTCCTTGCTGAAATACCAATAGTGTCGTTCGAATTTCTAAGGTTGTAACGAATGTTTGTTTGATACGGTATTGGCTCTGACAAGTATTCTGGTGCAATGCCATGTTTGATTTTATAGAATAATGTTAATCTATGTTTATAACGTCTTTGTTCTAATGTTTCCCAATTTACTTCATTTTTTAAGTTTTCAATTGAAACTAGTCTTGTTGCACCAGACACTATTCTAGCACATTCATTTTGTATTTTCTCTATGAGGTCAAGTTCATACTGAAATGCGTTTCCCCATACCACATCCGCGTCGGATAAACGATATATAAATAATTTCAAGAGATTTACGGTCTAACATGAATTTCAGTTTTCTCATTATGTTCACCCGTTTCCATGCTTTTTCATTTATATATTCTATATGTGAATGCCACAGGCAATTGTGAGACAAAAATAATCCTAAGTGTTTATGATCTTTTACTTCAGGTATAGTTTGATTAAGCCGTTGAAGTGGTTGGTGATATGAATTTCTTTTTCTAGAGACAACAAGGGATTCTGATTTAGACGGATTGAAAGTGACAAGCCATTTTTCTGCCCATGCAGCTATTATTTCAATATCTGATTGTAATTGTTGTGCTGCAGTTTGTGGGTTTTCAATAACAAGATAGAGACTGGTATCATCAGCAAAAAGATTAACATTGGATTGAAGATCTTGGACTATGTCATTTATGTAGATGAGAAAAAGTAAAGGACCAAGGATCGAACCTTGTGGAACACCAGCTGAGAGAACACCCCAAGAAGATTTGGCATTTCTTAGAACAACACACTGGCGTCTGCAGCTTAAATAATCCTGAAACCATTCAAAGATTTTTCCAGATACACCATAATATTTTAATTTACAGAGAATGCCTTTGTGCCAGACTTTATCGAAAATGCCTTGCTTATGTCGAAGAATATAACTCGAGCTTCGAGACCGTCATCAAGTGATTTGCAAAGTATGTCATAAATATAAACAAGTTGATTTACAGTTGAATCCCCGGGTATAAACCCAGATTGCACAGGCGTAAGAATTCTATTCGCGTTCAAATGATTAAATAAATGCTTAAAGATCAGTCGTTCAAAAACTTTTTCCATAGTGCTGAGCAGTGAAATTGGTCTATAATTAGAAGGCAGAGATGCATCACCTTTTTTAAAGATAGCAGTAACATGGGCTTCCTTCCAAGAGGCTGGTACTTTACAGCAACATAGAGACTGATTAAACAGATTAGTTAAAGGAATAGAGAGTTCTTTTGCGGCTTCACGCACAATTTTATTACTAATAGACATTTGCGACATAATGTCGGGAACGATTATCGAGGAACAGTTACGTTAATATTGAGGGGTCATCTCAACACATATTATGAACACTTGAAATAAGGCCAGGATATCTTACTGTGTTTCTTTCCTTACATCTTAATTTTCATTTTAGTAATTGCAAGACGAACTGAAGCTAAATAAATTCGGAACTTTTCTCATAAGCTCAGCCAATGGTCGTTTGCGTTGACGGTTGTTTTGTCTAGTGCACTGACGTGCATCAATAGTTTCGTCCTTTGATGATGTCAAAACGTTTGGCAGCTTGAGCACGGATATCTTGACGTCTTGACTACGGCCTCGATTGTGCAGTTCACGTGGGACTGGTCCGGGTTCGAGTTGTCTCGGGACTAGGCCCGAGCGAAGCTGCTGGTCAGCTGTCCATGTTGGCCCTCATTTGTACATCTGTTAAGATTTATCGGAGCTTGACCTAGCAATGACTGATGCATGTGAGCCGCTTAAGCTTGCCCTTGGTTTAGATGCCCGGTCTTTCCATAGGGACTGCACCTAAATGTGTTTTGTTTCGGCACTAAATCCTTAACTCAAAAGACGTCTTTCAAGACGTTGTACGGCCTAAAGCGCTGGCAATATTTTGAAAATATTGAAATGTGAAATTGAAATGAAGTGAGTTACTGAATCGGAGTTATACATTAAAGCAGCAGGTGTCAAATGCCGTGTGGCAGCCGTAAAAAAGGTGCCCGTACTTCACTTCAATGTTGCTATATTTTTCTGCTCTTTTAAGATAATTGACTGCAGCACTTTTAAGTGTTGAGATTTGAGTTCCTCTTAACCCTTTCACTGCCATAGGGCAGTTATTTTTGGCAGTTATTTTCGGCGTATTTGCCATATGGACGGCTTTAGCCGTTTCTACAATAATAATGATAATAATAATAAATTATTAATGATAATAATAATAATAATAATAAAAAATAATAATAAATATAAAGAAAATTATACCATCGACAATAATTATTATTATACTAACATATTTGGAAACATATATAATTATTATAATACTAATAACAAATAATTATAATTATATTAATTAATAATATAGTAATTTCTTAGAAAACCCTCTGGCAAATAGGTGATCAATAAAACAATAACCCTCTGGCAGCGAAAGGGTTAAGCCGGTGCTAGGGGAGTAAGGGTTGTTG